GCTAATGTTTGCACAAGGTTGGCCCCGTACCTGCAAATCATTTACCAGAAGAAGGGAGGCTTTTATAGCTCAATATACGCTGAGATACACGTGACTGGGCTCCACATGGGACACACTCTGCTAACGTGTAATTTTCTGTTACTATTTTCATTTTCTAAGTAGCTCAGAAGGCAGTGCTGGGCTACACATGGCTACACGCCCTGTGCCAATAAGTCTGTGGCAGTCAGAGCAGCCTGAGTCTCGGTCTCTGTATCACTGTTTTCTTAAACAATGGAGCTTGACATCAGTTCCAAATCAAAAACATAAATGTCTTTCTTTAAGTCCTGAGATGGGATTGGCTGCGGCCCCACCAGGACCCCAAAAACAAATAAGCCGTAGTCGATTTTCATGGTTATGAGCTAAAAACATGTTTACATCAACAAAAACCTCACTGTCAGGACTGACTTATGTTCAGCCTGTCTTGTAAAGAGTCCGTGGCACTGTTGGTTTTCTTGTTAGCCTAATTATCTTACAGATGAAGAGAGTTCCCTTTAGGGTGTCGCACCTCTGAGAGCTTAAAGAACCTACGTCACAACAGATATTTTATATGGTATTTTATTTCAACGAAGAAACTGACAAGCACTCCTCAGTCAACATAACAAAACATTTGTGCCTCTGTGCAAACTCACAACGAGGGCTCCTTAAAATAAATACTTTTAAGAGGAAATAATACAGACAAAGTGAGAGGCTTGAGCCACATGGAAAAACAGTTATCCAAAAAGACAGAAGGCTCACCAAAATGTCTCTCCAACCCAATTGTCCAGCCAAAGGTTTCCGTATAAAAAACAGCAAGGTACTTTTTAAAAACTAAAAATTCTGCAGTCGTAAAAATACAGAATCATACAAAAGTTTTTTTGTTGTCATTTTTTCGTCTTTAAATCGTTGTAAAATATCAGCTGTTATGACAATTGATGACAATTTTTGTTCCATTATATGTATAGTAACAGACAGAATGAACTTCCGCATTTTTGTTTTTAAATGAGAAGTCACATACATAATGAGCACTCTGTATGGTCATCATAACTGTCCAGTAAAGAAGACAGGTCCCCAGAACACTTGCTCCAGCCAACATCTCTGCCTTGGCATCCAAACCAAAGTTGTTCTGTGCAGTTGAACTATTCCATTCAGAGCTACATGTTCACTCCCTTTGAAAGTTACATTAGCACCAGTGTTCACATTTTCTGAATATAAATCAGACAATAATCACGTCCTTGTTAGTATTGGTCAACTACAAATGGTCCAAAAAATGAATCACCAAGAGGAAAAATATGTCATAAATACAGGTTACAGTACAAAAATGTGGTCCGACCTGTTGCCATTGATCATTTGTAAGAATTTAGACACAGTCTGCTGGCTGCAAAAGAAACAGCAGCTTCAAAGGTTCACAATTCGCATTTTGTTTACGTTCATTATTTTGCAGCGGCAGCACCAGGTCTTTTTGTTGTTGTACAATGACTTGAGTTGGCCTGTGATTGCAACCACTACTACTAACCACCACCACTACTACTTCAAACCTCCGTAATGGCTTTGAACTTTATTTGAAAATGTTGGTTATCCATTTGATAAAGCCATTCAAGTACATCTTAGTGTTTTCTGATCAAATGAGTGAGACCAAAAACTTGTAGTTAGTGCAGGGCCATGTTGTAATTTTAACAAGCCAATCAGGGGGACACATGAAATGGACTTAAAAAAAAAACAAAAAACATATTGTTGCATCTCCCAGTCAGGGTTAAAATTTCCTGACATAATTGACACAGTTAATATTTACGTTTTGAACACTGTCAGATTATCCGGAGTTGTTTCTGCTTCCTCCAATAGAGGGCACCCAAAATGCGATTGTGACGCCATTTTTCTTTTACTGTTAGCAAGAAACCTTTTCCCTGTTATGAAATCAGAGAGCAGTGTTCTACATAATATAAAGTATGACACCTTGTATTGTAGTGTTGCCTGCTGTGTCACTGCTGTAGAAGACACGCTACCACAAACAAAAAAAACAGGAAGAAAAGACATCAATAACAAACAAAAAAAATTCTTGTACCAGCACGCTGCCGGGTGCATCTGTTTGGTCATGTTCGATTGGTTCAAACCACATCTGTAGTCTTTGTAGTCTTACTTTTCATACCAAAAGGCTAGGTCCACTTTTACCAACGTTTGGTCGATGGTTGTAGCTTACAAGGCGGCACACATTCTCCCTGCTCCCCACAAAAACCCTCATCAAACTGTACACACCCACACCTGGTGCTCAGATGCACACATTCTTTCTGATCACTGATCCACCGCGTCCGCTCTCATCGCTCAAATACTATTTTCTCCTTTAACAAACAGCCTCAAAGCTTTTTAATGTCTCATTGGTCAACTGAGACAAGAGTGGTACAATTGTTCTGCTGAACTCACGGTAAGACGAGGTCACTCCTCCCAAACACCCATTTAAGTTAGTGAGAAAGTCACAACAAGCACTTTTAGCTCATAATAGGAACATGGACCAGAACACAGAGGAAAACAGTTGACATTTTCACATAAGATGAATCAAAATCACATTTTTGGACTTAAAAAAAATATTTAGAGTTGCTCCACAAAATAAAACATAATCAAATGATTCGTACGTTCCACTCTGTCGCCGCTATGGGGCTTTTAATAATCTCAGAGAAAGATAGAGAGTCGGCAAGTATGTTCTGTTCAAACTAAACAGTTTTAAAGTAAAGTTAGAAAAAAAGACAGCGATCCTTGACAGTAAACTGGAAGCTCCGTTGTTTCCAAAAGGACTGCTGAAATGTAGCGAACTGGAGCCCAGGAGAGTCCAGTGCCCTCAGGTCAGAGGAGCAGCTTGTATGGCCCAAGCTGAATCCTACCCTGGTCCATTTTATTGCCCACACAGCTAAGCACTAGCATGAATGCTACTCAGGCTCCAGGTAGAGTTTACTGTATACGAGAACCAACAGAACCAACATTAGACTGAGCCACATTGTTAACGGTGTGTGTGAGTTGGCTGCAGAGGACAGCGAGCTAAAGCCAACAAACACGATTGAAGAGTGTGAAACGACAACAAACTCTGGTGCAGTTAACTACACCTGTGCAACAAACGTGTGGCTGCTGCCCTGCTGACTGTAGCAGCATCCAGGTGCAACTGGACCTCATCCAAAGGTCGATTCCCAGACCAACTGTGATATGGTTTGATAAGTGAACGGCATATTCACTCCACAACATCTAAATGAACTAAAAAGGCTAACAACTGCATGGGATGAACCATGTGACTAGAATCCTTCTATGAAACTGTTTCAGGTGTAAAATCATCACAGGACTGAACCAAATGTTGATCTTGTCCACATCAATTCTTTGGTGAAAATGACAGCACTAAATGGATCACAACTTTACAAAAGGAAAACCCAGATAATTTCATGACTAGCTGGTTTGTTACAGACAAAAGGAACCCACCTGTTACCGCTGGATGTTTCTGTTCTAACTAACTTGATGTTTAGTCTAAATTTGCCAACAGATCCAGTCTGGTATAATGGAACCCTGCAGACCAGTGATCTCTTTGTAATCCCCTGGTTACGACCCAGATTGCTACGTCTTTTTAATCTATGGCCGTTAAACAAAACTAATGTAACATTAATATTGTTTTTTTTTTCTCCAATATTTTTACTTTTGCTTTGGTATCGTTCCACGACTGACAAACAACGCCAATAATTTCAGGTTCTCAAACTTCATCCCTAATACAAGAGTGGTGTCTTTAAAAAGACATTTACTTGTTAATATACCATTTACCTTTAACTTGTGTCATCTCTACTGTGGATACAAAAAAAAAAAAAAAAAGAAAACTAAAATTCTCTTGAGGCACTGTTTGATTTCCAAAGCTTTGTGTTGCTGAATTTTAATAAAAAAGATTAGAATACAAGTACAAATAAATGAGAAAAGAGCATGATGGTCCCGCTGTCCAAACACTTGCTTCTCTGCTAAGTCTTCAGAATCCACCAGCACAACCAAGAACGTGGGTCAGGTTTAGAGTCGAGGGCGAGGAGAAGGACAAAGTGTGAGGAGGTTTACGATGGATTTTCAGCTCCAGTTTTTAGTTTCCGTTATTTCTCCTTCATAAAAACAACTGAAAAGTCAGATCTTACGACATTATTTTCTGAGGAATCTCTATCGAAGCCTTGATGAAGATGCAGTTGTCTCGGATGTAGTTCCTCTTCTTGATCTCCTCGTGGGAGATGAACTTGGGGTAGCCGAAGCCCAGGGTGCTCTCGTCCAACGAGTTGCGGTTGCTGCAGGGCTTCTGGAAGTTCTTCCAGTTTGGATCGGGGTTGAAGGTCTCAGTGATGTGTTGGGGTTTGGAGAGTGACGGGTCGCTCTGGTCCAGAATGGAGAATGTCACCTTGTAGGAGAAAGGCCACTCCAGGAGACTGTCGTACTCTCCGGGCAGCACGCGAATGTAAACGGACAGATGAGATCCCTCACCACTGCCGTTGCCATTCAGGAAGGCCGACACCTGCAGCTTGTAGCCGTAGCGATGAGTGTAGAAAGGAGGGCTGAAGAACTCGTGGTTGCTCCGAAGTTTTGCCTCCTGCAGCTTGCGCGAGTAGTCGTTGAGTTTCCAAATGAGGTTGCCATCGTGACTTACCGAGAGCTCCTCCATCTCCCGCCGCAGCTCCAGGATCTCCTGCCGCTGGCGACCCACCAGGTTGCACATCATGGTCAGGTGAGACTTGGTGGTGTCTTCCAGATGACGGCCGATGGCCAGTTTGGGGCACTGCAGAGAGACGAGGAGGACAAGAAAGATGAAATGAAAAAACACTGAGTGAATGAAACGTGTGTGTTTTCTTGATCAACCTTTTATTTTTATTTTTAGAAATGTTGGACTTTCTACTAATGAAATTAAAATGAAAAGGTTAAAAAAACAAACAACTTATTTCCAACTGTTTAATATAAATATAATAAAATAAATCTAGTATCTAGTAATTTTATTAAGAAGTAATTATGTGTCACTTTTTATTTGTTCATGTAAACTCGATATAACATTGACTGCATTTGCAGTACATGGCTCCTTTTCCCCCGTGTCATATGGAGTGTTTGTAGAGGTGACATCTTCATTCTAATTTCAGTTCTGTAGTCCATCGAGGCCAAACATTAACATCAACGTTTTGTGAATTTTTAACTACACAAATAAAAGTGACTTGAATGAATATTTCAACTGCTTTGAAAACATGTTTTTATCATCTGTTTAACCTAAACTTCAGGTTTGCCAGAAAATTAACTTTTTTTTACCACGTTCGAATTTCTACAGATGTCTTCAGCTTTAAAAATAACTGTAAAAATGTGTTCACAATATGCAAGTGTGGCCTCCATCAAAACAGGCCTTGTGGAAGTGGAATTTGTTGTGTTTGAAAACAGCTGCTTTGGACATGAGAAGAAAAGAAGAAAAGACGTGAACTGAACAGGGAGAAAGACTGAGAAGACAAACAAAGCGTGTGCAGCAAAATTGGACAGATCCAAACAGGAAGACATAATTCACTGAGGTGAAAAGACGTTCGTCTGTCTCACCCTATGTTTGCAGCCGGCGTCCTTAAAGGGGCAGAGGATGAGCGCACTGCCACAGTTGTCCTTCACGTGGTTAGCCAGGTCTTCTCGAGCGATGTTAGGTGTCCCACACTGGTTTGGACACTGGACTGGAAAACGAGGGCAGTGGTACTGGTGGTTCTAAAGACAAATTAGGAAACAGAAATGTTGGTGTAGTATTCACAGGTGAACATCAGGACACTTTTTTTCCATTTGTTAGCTTCTCTTAGCTCGGTTGGTCCTACTTCGGGGCTAACCTAAAATTCCACTGTCCATTCACCTATTGTTGCTCTAATACACAGTCAATACAGCAGTGTTATTTACACACACTGTGGGACCTCAAAACACCAAATCAATGCACAGCATCTCTCTATCTCTCTCTCTCTCTGTCTCTGTGTATGTGTGCGTGTTGAGGCTTTAATTTCCGGTCAGACGCCCGGCTTACATGACACCAGTCTCACCGAGCTCAGGGCAGTAAATATGTCCACGGGCTGACAGGCTGACTGAAATGATTACCAAATGGATTGTGAGGGACTGTACACTGATTAATACTGTGCTGGACAGAGGCTTCACGGACATTTTGAGGCAAATCTCGATGCGTTCTACAGGCCACCGTGAAGAACATATCAAATCTCGATGCGTTCTACAGGCCACCATGAAGAACCACAGCAATGACTAATATTCACCAATTCAAAGAAGCTAAATTTGATGTGGGACTTTGATATGTTACAGTTCATGTCAAAGTTTCCATCATTTGGTTTGATGTGGGACTTTGATATGTTACAGTCCATGTCAAAGTGTCCATCATTTGGTTTAGTCAGAAAAAAAATGAAACACGTACATCTGCTTTCATTTGTCTTATATGTTTTAATGGAATGCCCCAGGTTTATCTAAATATTATAATATTAAAAACTATTCTAGATGCATATAAACATTCTTTAAAATAACACATTATTCCAAGTTCATTAATTGAAAAGAGAGGTTGCAGAGATATCTCCTCAGATTCACCCAGATGTTACAACAATTTCATTTATTTAATGTTTTTTTTTTCCCAACTCTGACCTGGATTGTGTCAAAGACAAACTCCTTGCCGCAGTACTTGCAGGGCTGGGTGCGTTTGGGACACTCAGCCATGCTGTGCTGGGGCAGCAGGCGACGCATCATCCTCGCCCCGCACTTGTTCTCACAGTACACGCTCTCCTGAGGACACACACCCTGGTGGTTCTGGGACAGAAGACACAAAGGGTAAGATATTTTGAGTGGTAGCGTTGTTACAGCCACACCTGCTGGGAAGCTGCAGGTCATATTTTAAAGGAACATTTACAGTATATCACAGTCACTGTCTTCAGCAGTAAAGGTCAGAGAAGGAGAGTGAGATTAAACTTAATATCTTATTATTATTATTATTATTATGATAATCAGTATTATTATAAAAATAATCATTTTGTGCTTTATCATGGGACAATCTACAATACGATGTTAGATCTTCACATAAATCCCATTTGTTTACATCAGGAGGGATCACAGTTCATACCTCATATGCTTCCCCGGTGAACTCACTGCCACAGAACTCACACTTGACCTTGCGTTTGGGGCAGTCGTGCTGCAGGTGGTCGGGCAGGTCGCGGCGTGTCAGCTTCACCGAACAGCGGTTCGGGCAGGGAATCACATTGAAGGCGCAGGTGGAAAAGTGGCTCTAAAGGACACACCAGGACAATGACTGTGATGTCACCATCTCATTTGTCAGCGTTGTAGTTGGGTTTTCCACGTCCAAAGTCCACATGACCAATGCTACTATTCTTTGGTCTTTTTTCTTCAGACACATTACATGTATTCACTTACAATTTTAAAAAGCTCATAAGGTCCTCGTTTAACTTTAACATCAGAATGTTTCTGTTCAACAGATACACAGTTTAATGGTTTCCAGCTAGGCCTGCACCATTAATCATATTTTCATTGTCATGTCGATGTGAATGTGCTCGACAAACACATCGCAAAAGCTGGCCTGATGACTCCATGTGAAAGGTCCTCTAAACAACACAGTGAAAGTGCGGAGGTCATAACTCACTATTTGAATTGTCATCACACATTTTGGCCTGGGTTAGCTTGTTACCTGCAGCTGCTTCATCTGTCCGGTCCAGCGACAGCCCTCCTCACTGTGGATGCATCGAATAGGCAAAGCCAGGATCTGTTGCTCCAGTTCTGGATCTGGGTAGATCTAAACACAGACGCAAACAACCTTACAAAAAGTCCAGTCGGAAAAACTGAAAAAAAATCTTTCATGGCTTAGAAGGGAATACGTAAATATTTACTTAAATATTTTGTTTTCCAAAGACAGCAACATTTTAGCTTCTCTTCTGTGAGAATAAACTCATTCGTTTAACTTTTTTTTATTAACTTTAATTTCCAGCAAAAAAGGCATATATATATAGATATATCTATATCTATATATACACATTAAGCAGCATGGCCTAAAATAAAATAAAAAAACAAACAAATCTTTAGTGATAATAAAATACTCCAACATACAGTTAAAAAACAAATGTATTTTTTCATGAATGACCGAGGGGAATGAATCACTTTCGAGAGCAAATCCTTCTCTCTTGTCGCCTGCATTAAGGGTTTTCAGATTTACGCTGAATCAACACTCCCCTCATCGCACTCGCGTGAGCCAAACACTGGTCCAACAGGAAGAGCTGCTTGGTTAGAATGTCAAAACAGCTCTTCAAACAAATAACAACAACTGCTCTGTTTTCACATGTCTCTGCAACAAGACATGTAGAGACACTGTCACCACAGCAGAACCTACACAACTATACAGTCATCTGTAAAGCCTATAGTTACGTATACTTTTTTTTCTATTACACATTTGTTTAAAATTATTCAATAACTATAAATAGTAGGGATGGGACTGGAGAAGCAGTTCTTATAGAGAACTGGCAACCAACGGTAAAAATCTTTGGAATTATTAGTCGGCTTGTTTCACAAATCCAAAGACAAACGTACTTGATTCTAGTAATGTCCATCACCTACCAACACTAGTTTGTATATAATGAGGATTTTTTTTTATTTTTTCATGCAGTTTTTATTAAGGATGGTTCAATACAATCCAGAGGAATTTGTTTTTTAGGTTTAGTGCTTCATCAAGTGTGTGTCAAGTGTGTGGTGTTACCTTGGCGTAATCAAGCGGCAGCTGATCCTCCGGACACTTAAACACTCCCTCACTACAATGACAAAAGAAAAAAAAATTGTTATCTTAATTGTCTTTAGAGGCACTTAGTAAGTGAGTGTCTTTTGAGCAGCAGTAAAAAAAGGAAGAAAAAAGAAAGAAAGAAAAGTATGTGACGTTCCCTGTAGGCAAGTATTATTTTGCTCTCAAACACTCCATCATCTAGAGCCCTCCTTGTAAACGCGGATGATTCGATCAGAGAATGGTGGCACCAAATGTGTAGCATGAAATTCTTTCCATCATCAAGGATCACCCAGGAAGTGTCTCACACTGTAAACTGTGTGTACTCTGTAGTGAGACGAGAACACGGCCTGCTGTAGTAAGAGGAGATGTGTATTGACAGGATCTCAGCTCGGGGGCTTAAGCCCTGGATCTGGGTCCAGCTCTGGACTTAGTATCTGATTCAGAGAGGCAGACAGGCAAAAACAGCCGAGTCACAGGCTGTCAAGATAATTCATTCACTGGTTTAGAGATGATCTCCCAACCCACGCAGTCATGTGAGCTAACGCTGCTTCACTCTCTCCACTGCCCACAGTCCATCAACTGTCTGTGACAGCACACCAGCAGAGAGAGGTACAGGCCAACAGACACACAGATCAGATACAACATGAGACGGAGTATCAACTGTGTAAGTGATGGTTATAAAAATACAGAGATTATCAACAACATGTTGAGTCTTTGTAAATAAAGAAAAAAATCCTACACTCTATACTTCCTTGTACTTTAAGGCATATAAACGTGCACACATAATCTACACTGTAATAATTTGGTCAAAAGGCACACTTAATATGGAACAGGTTAAAAAAGGCAAAGTAGCTCAGTTAATTTCACTTAGTTAGAATATAAGATGTCGTAATGTTATTAAAATGAAGCCAATAAATAACCTGTCGAAATGTTTTAGATTTCTGTGCGTTCATCTTGTTAGAAGAAGTTTTTTTTTGTATTAGACACATGAGGACATGAAGATAATTTAATTTATTTAGGAGGGTTAAATAAAGTGTAAAGAAAGAGGCTGCTTTACTTCAGACAATGGGCACAGTCACAGTCAACAAGTCACAGGGACATTCAGTGGAGAGTTCAGTCAACTTAGTCCCCAACGTATAGCTACAGACGAGGGGAGAACATACACACTCCTGGTGGAGAGACCAGTATTTACCACCGGGGCTTGAACCAGAGGTCTTCTAGCTGTAACAATTCTGTACTCACTACCATGTGACCCACTGA